ACTTAGTATAAATCTGGGAAGTCTCCCTTTCTAAAGGGAGTGCTGCCCAAATTTCTACTAATTCAGAGAGTTAGATAGAATTTGACTTTCCAGAGTTAGAGATTATTCCTGCTCTCATATCTCGGCTTATATAAATTATGAAAAGACACTTTTCCTACGGGAAGCGCTGCCAAAAATTTTTTAGTTTAGAGGAGATAGATTATATTTTGATAGGTGATTCAGGCGATCCACCCAGAATAGGGGAGATTTTGCAGTTGGTCTACCTTCAGCTTAAGCACTGACTTAAAAGTAGACTTAAATTTAGCTAATAAGGAAATTTTGAGTGAGGATGTATTATGGAGTTGTAATCTCCATACACTTATGATCTTAGCTTGGGGATTGGTATGCCGTATGTTACAGGTCTTTTTTATCATTTGATCCAAGTTCAGGGCTAGATCCAGCTTGATCCCTTGAGGATCACTTACTGTTATCACTGATAATAGGTCGGTTGCCGATTCGTCGGTCTACGACTCAATTTCAACTCTCCCTCTACACTCAACCTAAAAGGCTTTAGCCCTGGTGATTTCGTTGTTTTATTAAGGTTTCACCCGGACTTTTATTGAATGGCCATTTAACAAAGGTGCTGAGTATTTAATTAAGGTTGGTTGGACAGGAGGTTTGGGGCTTGCATGGCTAAAGCGAGGGGTATGAGTGTCGAAGGTGGTTGGGGTTGACTTCGTGTAATGTGTGGGCTGTTGATTTGGTTCGTTGATGTGATGGCAAGTATGTGTTGTGAATCAGATTCTGGATTTGGTTGCCTACAATCACACATATACATATTATTGTGAGAGACCCCAGCGAAACCATGAGAAGTGATCGTCACATATTTAACCCTTATATATGTATACATGGGTATACTTGGGATGAATGTTTGCATGGGTTGAAGAGCCCCTACATTAGAGCCCACCCAGAAGCTGAGACTGAGGGGCTTAGGGGAGGTTTCTCCTTTTATTCTTGTCTCTTGCTTTTTGATGATTTTCTTAGTCGGACGTTTGGCCCTGGGCTGGGATTCGAGGTCCTTGTCTAGGACATCCCAAGCCCTAGGCTCTGCAGGGGAGTGGTTTTCCCTCGCGAAGAGCCTATTTGATTTGCCTACCGAGACACTCAGGTTGAGAGCCTAAGGTGCAGCGGCGGCTGCACGACTATTCCTTCAGCCATGCAATGTCGTGAAGGGTTAGGCCCTCACGACACTTCAAGTCTGACACTTGAGTATCATAAGCGGTGCTCGGATCCACGAGGGACCTCTTGATTATGGACACTACATAGTACGTCATCATTGCGACTGCTTATGTACGTCTGCATTACAAGTCGATATGAGTATGCCCTGCGTCCACTCGGTTTTATACTAAGTTCAGCGCGCGACACCTATCCGATTTCCGCACTGGAAAGTTATGGGATGGCTACCGAGGGGCTAGGAGCGTTGTCGCGTTGTTGGTATTGTGTCGTTTCGTATATATGTTGTTTTGTGTGTACGTGTGTTCGTAAAATGGAGTGCGCGTGGTGTGTGGGATGCGTCCTAGTCGACCGACAATAAATCGCGCTTGGGACCTCAGCCCCCCCAAGATATCGGTTCATGTGCGGGTCCGATAGAGGCGTATTATCGCGCGTACCCCCTATGCTACAGCGAACGAGAAACGCCCTCGGCTGGTCCACCTCTGCGATTGCAACTGATTAGCTTTCGTACTGTGGACTGGTAGCTCGACGGGGATACGCCCACCGAAGGGAGGTGACAGCTCCCGTAAGGTGTAGGTAAGTCGTGCCTCGCGTAGGCCCTATCCTGTCGTAGGGGCTCGTGAGAGGTATGGCTGGCGTACCCGGCCGGAGCGGCTTGCGGAAGCTCCATGTACATTGCGACGAAGGGTTCTAAAAAACAACTCTTGTGTGACGCGGCCGGGAGGGTCCCGCGCTGCCCCTGTGCAGTGCCGGACCGATGCGCCCGACACCGCGCCCACGCAGTAGACAATAGAGACTGGAGTTCGAACTCCACTGGGAGCCGATGAACAAAATTCGCAGCCGTTAGGCTGCGGTATAGTGTGCTTCGCGTCTGTGTCAAGGTGTCGCATTTTTGGCAGTGGGCGACCAGGACGCAAAGTGGGTTCTTAGGGGGCAAAAACATTTGGGGGACCGGTCATTGGCAAAACTGCGGACTACCTACAGCTAGCTCTGCTAGAACCGGGACATTTGGAAAAAGGAAGGACCGGTCCTCGGGTGGAAGTGGACCCCAAAAAGAAGTGGGGGGCATCGGACCGGATCCCGGGTAGAAGCGCACCCCAAAACGAAATAGGCGTTTTGCAAGAGGCAACTTTGACAATTTTATGTGCTCGAACGAACATGCAAAAAAATCTTAAATTTTGAGAATCCATAGATGAGGTCGTGTTATTTCCAGAAATAATAATAGAATATTTAGAAAAACTCATTTACACTGCAAAATAATTGTCGCACCGATTCGGTGCATTTTTCATTTTTGTCACTCAGCCATGCCTAGGCCAATAAATTTAAAAAAATCATTCCAACTGCAAAATAGATCGCGGCCGCAATTTGACCCATAGTTAATTTTACCATTTAGTCTCTCT